TACTCTATATTAGTTAAAACCATAGTCTACCAATGACATCATCTGGTCTACCAATACATCAACTAGTCATACACTCTCATATGCTTTGGTTTTAAAGTCCCCCATAATACACCACAAAATGAAGAACCTGCATACCAATAAGGATAAATTGATTGGTCAATAAACTGCCTAAATACTATTTACAAAGAAAATATTCCAGATGTTAATGCAGTACAAAATAAAAAATAAACTGAAACATAATTGAGATCTGATTTTAATCAGATTGGTGTCAATATATTAAATAAAAATCAGTGTTATTCTGATTCTAAATTCACATGACCTACATTAAGTAAACATAACTTAAAGAGAAATCTCCAAAAAACAATTCCTTTAAGTATCCCCCCAAAAAAGTGAAAAAGTATTGTGCCATTTGGGAATGGTTGCCAAAATAGTCAGTCTATTGGGGTCATATAGAGGTTTAGAGCACTTTTGTCATTTTTTTCACCCATATACAAAGTAAAATTTCCACTAAACAGTATATTTTTTCCAAATGTAAACTGCTAAAAGGGGTGTTTATAAAAATAATAAATCCCCCAAATAACTGCTTAATTAATTGCATGGTATTTTTCATCTTAATACCAATTAGTTAATTTAGTCATTTCTGTAACTTCTTGTGAACAAGGGTACATAACATTTAAATAATTGAATTTTCAATAGAATTTAGCAATATTTACCAAAAGGTAATTGCAGCACAGATAAATATGTATAGACTGACTATTCTTATTTAACTGAGAATCAATAGATTTTATGGGTTTGTGCATGCCATTATCAGACAAGCTCACAATCAAACAAAACAGAATATTGCCTCAAATGTATCATTAAAAACAAGTTTATATCAGGCAAGAACGAAAAATTCAAAACAGAGGTGTATATCATCCTACATGTATATAAATTTAGTTTAAAAAAGTTAAAGCAGGACTTGTATTATAATTGAAAAACAATTTCATGCATATTGATTTTAGATGCTTTATTAAATATTACTTGAATACTGTTTTATTCTCATAGTTTTTAATAGGAAATATATGGAAATATAACACACAAGCTTTTTCAGTTAGTCTAAAAAAAGAGTATTATGTAGTTGTCTTGGCAATTATACTTGCATAAACACATCTATATGAAATTATATTTAAATAGAAATATGATCAAAACACAGCTCTTAATTTCCAATTATTTTCCTCTATCGCTGTACAAGTTTTATGGTAGCTCATGTTCCTGAAGCAACGACTGTGAGTTTTACAACATCTGGACATTGCTAGATTACTTCATATTTCCCGAACTTATAGCTACGTTATCTACAGACACGTGAACTGTAGTGTCCAATCAGAGGTTGCGACATAGTGACCTCCACGGAAACCTTGACATTGAACGAAACTTGAACTTTGCAACTCGATTATCACAGGTAGACATTTTAGTTTGAAAGTGCAAGACTTGGTATTCGCGACGATCGAGGAATCTGATCGGCTCACAAGTTGGGCTTGTACCCAATCGAAATTAGTGCCGAAATATTCAGCGTATTACGTGAAGGCCTTGATAAGATGTACATAGTTAAAGCGAGATCAAGCCTTCTATTGAAGATGATGGTGGCTTAAATAAATTTGGTAGATGTAAATCATCATTGTTCGTCTACAGGTTCATTTATTGATCTAAAGCCACTTTATATTTGGATATTAATTAAAACATTTGATTCCATAAATAAGCTGATAGGTCTTATCAAAACCATATTTATTACTCATCTGTGCAAATAATGGAGGTTTTAAATTTTAAAAGTTTTCATTTCAGAAAAAAATAAAATAAATAACTAAAAACATTTATAATTTCAATATTTGCTATGGATTTAATTAACAGATTAATTGTATGGAAATAGTACAGGAAATAAATTTTGTTTTATGCACATACAATTGTAGTACATCTGACTTAATGAGCAAAGCCATCAATATATTTCTGCCTTTGTAGTTTCCATTAATGGGCATTAGACATGATTAGTGATGGATTGTAGTCATCATTTCATGCGAAAATTACAATAAACTGGTCCAATAGTACAGTTCAATTTCACAGTCTAAAATATAAGATATTAAAAAACTTTTTCCTCTCTTTTTATGACTAATCAATTAATAAAAAATTTATTTGGATTAAAGACATGATTACACATAGTTTACATTTGGTTGATTTCTATTTTGTCAAAGAAATCTATAATGTCTCTGAACATCATTTGAGGGATTGAGAAATCCATTGTGAAATACAATGTTGTTAAAGTTGAATCTCTCTAAAAGAAATGCTAGTCCAAAAACGGTTCAATTCCGTTCAGTATTTACAAAGAAATGAAGAATCGAAAACATTCGGGATCTCTACCCACACAATAGCAGCAGGATAAGGTCCAAACAAGCTAGTGCCGACTATAATCTTTGCAAAAACCTTTTGATGGACATCTTTTTATTTCTCATTGATTCAAAGCCTGGAGATTATCTACTATTAATGTTTCAATCCTGTTTTCATAATTTTATTTAAAATTCTCAAATAATAAACATGAGTATATTTTATTGTGGACTAAGCGATGGAAAGTTTAATATTTTCTGAAAAATGCAAATGACGCACACAGACTTTAATTTAAGTAAGAAATTACACAAATCTTATCCCAATCCTTTCTGGGAGATTTTACTTTGTTTGGCCTAGATGGCCCAGTGTCAACAAAGCTAGTGTGATGGGTCAGTTGATCCCTCAGTCTTTAGTTTATGTAAAATTAAAGCCCTCATAAATATGCTTGTCACATTTCTATAACACTGGATTCTTACAATATAAAACAACTTTTGAAATTATATGTAGTACCTTAATTATCTCTCTAAAATATTCAAGCAAATTTATAATCATATTTTAATATTAATTTGAAAGGCATGTATTTCATAACAAATAACTCTGTGAAAATTGTTTCTTGGGATGCTTTTGTTTTGTGTCAAATTAATTAAGAGAACCACAAATCAAATATGAGAAATTTTCCAGAAAAAGGAAAAAAACCCAAAGAGCTTCTTTTTATACAAAAGAATGGCTGAACAATTGATTAAACATGTGAAATTGTAACCTGTGTTTGTGTTCAAGATAGCAAACCAATTTTAGTTTTGCTATGAGAGGTGACCCCTATTGTTATCAAGTGATAACACAGGTTTAAGATTATATAAATATATTTAGTGGGCCTACAAACTAATCTCTCTGTCGCTTCTTCTTAAGTTCAACTTTAAATTAAACTTTTATTACAATTTTATTAAAAGGGCTTTTTTTTGACAAATAATCATAGAAGACTAGAAATACAAAATTACATCATAAATGTCTGCAGTTCTTTTAAGTCAATATTTCAAACTTTCAAAGGAACTATTTCAAATAAATATGTCCTTACAACAAAGTACATGGCCCGCATTTATGTACAAAATTTGTCAGTAACACAATCAGAGCTTAAGTAGTGAATCATCAGGTTTCAGATCTTTAGATTTTCTTTATTATTTAAAAGAAATAAAAACAAGACTTATGTTCAGCTTGCAATTTAGCCCTCTCAATTACATAAACTATATAAAAAAACAACTGAAGACGATGCAAATTCATAATCATATAACATTATCATTGGATATTTTTTAAAAGAAAAAAACTTTGTATTCATTAAATGACACTAAAAAAAAAGACATCAAGAGCTACTCCATTTAAAAATTGGATTGCACAATACACAATATAAAACTTTTAAACCCATTAAGCATTTTTTTTTTTTAAATCTTCAAATAAATTATAAAATTTAAGTATTGATATTCAAAATCTATATAATTATACTTTATAGCTGTAACAGTTAACTATACAATTACATTTAACATTTTCCATTATAAAGGACAGCTAAGAAAACTGAAAAAAAAAAACCACACACAGCAGCCTAATAAAAATGATTTGAATACCATATAACCTTTTAAATGTGTCAATATTAGACTGGGTTAAAAGTTTATTTTTGTAGCCTGCTGTAAAATATAGTTAAGGTGAAACCGGTCTATCTACTAATATTAACATAATTTATGCACACTGCTAGCTAGCACAACCAGATAACATAACTTACAAAAATATTGATTCACATCATATGTGGCATTCAGCTGGCTCAAACTGAACAGATTAATACAGAAAAATAAATCTGCATTTTGTACAGTATTTATTAATGAATTCTGCTGAAACCTCATAAGCAAATAAAATAACTGTGGAAAATATAAATAGGCATTACTAGTAACTATGTAAGTTTAGTCAATTATGTGCACTGAAGCAAAACACAACACTTGTTACTAATTTTAGAACCACTTCTGTTAAAATTGTATGTTTCAATTATACCATAATCAATAATGGAAGTTCTGCTTTCAAAGCACATTGTGCAATGAATGCTTTAAAAATTTAATCTTTCATCTCCCTTAATAAAGAATCACATTTGTAAAACAATGAATTGATATCAAAATACTTTTCACCAACTTTTTATGGTAACCTGCTGATTAATTTTTTTAAATTTTACATTTGATTTTTCCTCACCTCGGGATATTGAAAATATAAATTTATTGAAGTAAAATATAATAGCATCATATAGCCTGCTTATTTTAAATTCAGAATACATATTTCATAGTTCAGTGTTAATAAAAATTTCAATAACAATTTAGCATGGAGCATTGCCGTAAACATTCTAAAATAGCCTGGTGTGTAAATTTGAATGGATTCTTTCTGCTGGTTTGAAAGCTTTTTTTTCTTCTTTTTAAAAAGAAATCAATAGGGTTTTTTTTTTAAAAAAAAAAAAAGAAAAGAAAATTGCAAGACAAGTTTGTTTAAATGTCAAGCATCAAAAACATTCATGATGATCAGTCAAGAAATCTGATTATTCGACTAATTAAAATGTAATTAAGTATATCAAAGTTATATAAAGATTTCAAATATAAATTTGTGTATAAAAATAAAAAGCTTACCTCTCCGTGATATTCATCTCTACCCTCTGGTGTATTTTCTGGTAAAAAGTAAAGTCTTATACTTGTAAGTTGATGACTTGAATTGGCGTCCTCCCATAACAGTTGAAGTTCTCCAATACATAATGGTATCTCTTTAGATATTTTCATGAAGAAAAATTCTCCAATTGCTAAATTATTTTCTTTGCCATCAACTTTAAATTTGAATGATTTAAAAAATGTGTATGTTCCATGTTGTCCACAAGGTGAGCCTGCAAACTGAAAAGAATGCATGTTCTATCAAAAAGTAATAATTGTTATAAATTGAATAGCTAAGTACATCGGCATGCTGAGTTGCAATGGTACAGCGAACAGATTATTGGAGAAATAGGTCACTGTATTCAATAATACTTGCCACTTACATTTCATGTTTTATACATAATTGAAGAAATAAGCTCAAAATATTTGTACAAAATTTAGATAATATATAAAAGAATATTTACCTCGACCTTTTGGGCTTCCATTCCTACAAAAACAAGATTATTATCGACATCGATATTAGAACAACTCTCAAGACTTTTATATTTGGGCCTAATTAGTGACGTCACGCATTGAAGTCTCTGTCATTAACATAATTTATTCATTATTTTATCTATCTTCTCTCTTTGCAAAAACTATGAATTAAATTCAAGCGGATTTGCCAAAAACTGACTTTTTACTATTTTTAAAAATTTTGGGAGGCATACATTTGATCATTTTCATGAACATTTATTCGAAAGAAGGGCTCACGTGGTGTATTATTAAGTGCTTTTTAAAAGAAAATGGCGGCGTTTGTTTTGATGCTAGAAAGCTCTCTGTAAAGGTAAACATGAATGTTTTAGTTATGGCATGGCTTAGATAAAACGAAAGACTGGGTGTGTCTTGATCCCAGAATCGAATATATGTTTTGTATCTGATTTATGGCGTTGGTAGTATAAATATTAATCCCATATACAAACTTTCGGTTTTAATAAATTGTATAAACTTAGAGAAATAGAAATGAAAAACAGTGAAATATTTAATCGTCTTTTTGACAGATAAAATTACAAAATTGTCACATGACGCTTAACATCACCTGACTCTTTCTGTTATCTATATTTTATTTCTCAAGTTGTTCAATTGACATTAGCTGTAAGTGCAGTATTGAGTTTGTTTTGAACATTCACATTGACTCAACTGTCATGTTGATATTATAATCATACTCACTGATAGGCTCAGACTGAGGACTGTCATTCTTGCTGATATTGCCAAATGGCAAGAAATGTCATGTTATGATTCTTATCATAAGTTGAAATATAGGCCCAGTTGAGCAATTAAAATGATCGGATGGGGTTGCAAACATAATTTCACAATATTTTATGTGTTACTGTATATATACAGACAGGGTCACGCTGGAGCTCTTGTTAAAGTTATACCTCCACCTCATGTCAACAGGTAGGCCTGAAGGGGCTGCTTCAAATGTTGTCTGAGCTGAGTACTATAGTCCCATGGGGACACCAATCATAAGACAACTTAAGTAATAGGTGTGCAGTGCTTTAAATGAAGCAAAGACTGTTTTCACGAAGGAACAAGATTTGTGTGTCATTTTGTCTTTTTCAATTTTTATTACAGGTGAAATTTGTTGTGTGTATTCAAAACCTGTTCCTTCCTAACTATCTGAAAGAGAAATTTGAAGCATTGGTTGATCACTTCCTGAAATTTTATTGTAGACATACCAGTACTGATAAAATACAAATTACACATGCAGCTTTCATAACAATCACAAGCCATGGAGATTGAAGTTATCGTTCAAAGTATTCTGCCCTCTGAAGGACCACAGGGCAGATATAGAATTAAAATGAACCCTAACGAAAATGTTGAACAATTATTGAGACGGATCTGTGCAGAAGCCCATGTTCCTTTAAAGCCATCTTACTGTATACGTCATGCGGCAAATAAATTATTACCAAGGGAAGCTACATTATCTACATGTAATGTACGCAGTGGAGAGGTTGTCCATTGGACTGATGAAGGTTGGCAAAGTTTATTGATGTTTCTATTGTTATTATTGTAAATTTCTTGGGCAATGTCTTGTTCCATGAAGTGATGGGTTATTTAAGGCTGTGTTTGTCCATACTGCTCGCAGTGTTTCGTTTGATTAGAGCTAATCCCACTTAACACTGCTGTAATGGAAGCATATTTCTGTTCCAAATTATGACTGGTCAATAGCTAACTGCATAACAATATCATTACGCTTTAAACAGAGCTCCAAATTCGACCAAATATGTTTACATAACGTTACATTATGACTCTCGATTTTATTGCACCCAATAAATCAGCGCATAGCAGAATGTTGCAAAAAAACTAATTGCATGACAAACGAGGCTATCAAAACGAATACAATGTAAACAATACTGTTTGGAGACGAACAATACTTTCACTGTTTTTAATAGCTTAAATCACTGTCCAAAGTTTTAGGGAAGACCCCAGATTAAATTACAGGCTGTCATGTTGCTGTACTTAGGATAGATTTGATTGAACGGGAAGAATAGACACACTCCCTCAAACCTCAAGTATCAGGAGCCAATCCATCCGTTCGGTGTTAACAATTAGTCGTTTTCAACTTTTTCTCATAAAGTTCTTGGATTTCAACACAATTTGATAGGTATACTGCTATGGTACTGTTTACTCTGATTTCTTCGAATGCAGTTTCTTGCCTCTATAGGGGCCAGAATGGAGAACTTTTAATAAGGGGTAATTGAAGATATCTTACAAAATCTTCTTCCTCAGAATAGCTGAACAGATTTCTTTGAAATCTGGTAAGAATTATCCTAAGATGATAAAAATATAAGTTTGTCTGAAAGTACTGGATGAATTTTAATAAACATTGGTATTTATGGTACCTCACTTGTGGTTATTTAGATTTTTGCAAATGAAGCTGCTGGATCCCATAGTTTTGGTGCAAGGTTACCTTGAATGGGAAAATTGTCGACTTGTCTTAAATTTCTGAATGGATTTGAAAAAAACTTGGTAGGTATGTTGATTGAGTGTTCGAAGGGACAGGACATGCACATTTTCAAGGGACAAATTTAAACATTTTTGACTTTTTGATTCACTTAAAAACTATTGCCAGAACCCATTGCCAGGATTATACAAGCAGATTTTAAGGGAACATTTGATTTTAGATATTTCAAAAAAGTTTGTTCAGGTCACAGTATGATGCTTTTGAATATGTGTGATTGTCTCTTTGATTTATACAAGGAAATAACAATAATAAAAGTTTCGTCAATGCAAACATACTCTTAAAACCGGTGAGTTAATGAGGCCATTGTATCTCTTGTTAGTTTGTTGAAGTGTGTTGCTTGTATGGTTGTACAAAATGACAAATAACGGCATATTAATTACTGGGGCTGATATCCTGGTTCACAGATCACACTTGCACAAAATCATATATGGCTTACCAGATTATCAGATTAACAAACTACAACATGTTCAAAATTCAGCAGCTCGACTCCTTACTAAAACTAGAAAACATCAACACATCTCCCCTATATTGCAATCTTTACTTTGGCTCCCAATTCAGCGTTAAACGGCCAAGCTCCATCTTATATAAAATGTCTTGTAGAACCCTATACTACCAGCCGAAATCTCCGTTCTCAGAAAAAACATCTTCTAAAATCTCCAGCCATTAACTTACAACTTGGAAAACATGCTTTTTCTTATGCTGGTCCCTTTCTATGGAATAGACTACTGGTACCACAATCAATGTATATAAAATGTCTTGTAGAACCCTATTCTACCAGCAGAAATCTCCGTTCTCAGAAAAAAACATCTTCTAAAATCTCCAGCCATTAACTTCAGGCGCGGATCCAGGATTTTTTGCAGGGGGGGGGGGGGGGTCTAGGTTGGATAATTGCTAAACTAATTGCGGTGGGCATAGACCACCACCGCGAGCGCCGAAGGCGCTAAACGTTGTAACGGGGTATCTGGGGTCTCTGCCCTACAAAAATTTGGTAAATTAGATTCAATTTGGCGCATTCTGACGTATCTCCGGAAGGTAAATTCCAAAATTAAAGGTCTAAAAATCGCCAATAAAATCGCTTAAAATGTCCTTAAAATGTTGATGGGGAATGCTCCCTTCACAGGTGAGGATTGATGATGAATTTAGTTTATTGTTAATCTCTAATTACCTGATTTCAAACACACATGGTGTTACGTCTCACGCAGCAATTGTTTTAAATGCGCGTATAAAAAGGTCTTACGAATGACGACCTGTCGGAAGTATTTTACCTGCACTCTCGATCGCTGTAGTAGACCTACCTTCCACTGTTTCGCGGTAAGGGCATGTTCCCAGTTCACCTAATTAGACATTCTCTTCAGGTATTATGATAATAATATTAATTAAATAATAATAATAATAATAAAACATAAGCAGTGAATATGTTATGTATCAAATTTTTAAAAAAATCTTATAAATTCCGCTAGCATATTTTTTAATCTTTTTTTAAATTTGATAAAATAAATGACCAGGTTTTTTTTCTTATCAAAGCTGCCGATAAAATTACAAAGCAAACACAACAATATTCAACGTCAACAGGCGAACAGCGTTAATAAAACTCTTTAAATTTCAATAAACTTATATTTTCATACAGTACGGTATTAAAAAATTGCCGACGTCAATAGGCGATTTGCCGTGGGGTCAATTGGTCCCGACGGCAATTTATGCTGTCGACGATTTTGGCTAATTGCCAGTGCTGTATGTGACTATTTGTTTTTGCCCACAATGGAATGAAGTCATGACTCAACTCAATGTATACAAACTCCCAATTTTTGGGTCAGATTCATGCTTTTAGATTTAAGTTTCTCGGACCCTTCAAATTTTCTAGCCTGAGCAGGGGGGGGGGGAGGTCCGGCCCCCCCTGGACCCCCCTCTGGATCCGCGCCTGAACTTACAACTTGGAAAACATGCTTTTTCTTATGCTGGTCCCTTTCTATGGAATAGACTACCGATACCACAATCAATGAAACAATTACCGTCTGTGGGCAATTTTAAATTTCAACTCAACTCAAAACATTCTTATTTCAAAACCCTGATCTTGTAAATAATCAGTGAATACAAAAACAAGCAGCACCTTAGAAACTGTTTTCCTTGGCATTAATGCGCTTTATAAATGACGATATTATTATCCTCTACATGTATAAAGGGGCCCTGTTATTTTATTGTTTTCCTGCTATACCAAACTGTGCTATAATGAGATTCAGTTTGTAATTTAACAAAAAGTAGGGATTATGATGATATTAAGTTATTAACGCCCATTTTAAGGTAATGTTGTCCTTGCATATTAAATGAGGGGTTCAAAGACTACTCTTGTCATAGTTTCTTAGTACCTGTCAATCTTAAACTGAAATTGAGGTCTTTACTGTTCTGTCCGGTTATAAGCTTACTAAATTATTTTTGTTTTTTGTAACATTAGAGTTTGGTTTATGACAAAGAATATGGATTCTGACAGTTATGAATACACGAGTCATGTCTGTTATGCTGTTGCCCAGACATTCCTTAAACTCAATAATACATGCATTTCAAATTTGGGATTCCGAAGTGATTTAAATTTTAACATTTAAAGTCACTGAAAATATAATATGATTAATTTTATTTTGTAGATCATATATTTAAAAAAGATAGAGGATTTAACACTATATGGTTTATGTGTGTACTTAGTTTATTGATTGGCGCTATTGGACTTATTACTGTTAGTGTATTAAAATCAGAAGTACCAAATAAAGAATTTGATGTAAGTTATTTGAAACATGTATTTTTTTTCAGCAGAGATGTTGATATAGCTCCATACCTGTAATTAAAGGGACAAAATAGTTAGGGTTTCTCTGTTTATTTCGCTGAAATTGGGTTTCTTACAAATTTTAGAATTTATTTGAAGTACATGTACCAGTAAATAGATTCAGTATTGTCCGATTAAATTACAATTTTGTACAAAGAAACTCCAACATATTGAGATTATTTGAAACTGTTACACATCAGACCTTTTTTACTCCAGCATGAGTTCTGCATCATAGGCATAGAAAACAACAAATGTCCATTCACATGTAAGTGAATGGATCCGGGGGGCTAGCCGTAAGCATCTACTGTATTTTACCGCTCAGGCCTGTACTGATATAGGCTTCACTTAAAAGGGAAATTTGTAACATGCTCTCCTACTGTCATATTCAGGCTTGTCTAGAAGTGCAAAATAGGATAAAGACTTAATAACTTTTTAAAAATAATTCCATTTATTTTTAGTATGGTATAGTTATGGATGCTGGATCATCCCATACATCATTATATATATATAAATGGGATGGTGCTAAATATAAACAAACGGCTGAAGCATCCCAAACTGGTGAAACATGTAAAGCGCCAGGTAAGTACTATAAAAGGACTGTTGCCACCAGGGCTTTTAATTTTGACTGTTAAAATAGATTGAAGTTTAATCTAAAAAGTTGTCCATATTTTAATACTTGTCTTTCTTTCATATGGAATAGTTATATACAATATGATGCAATGATAACTCACACAATACTTCTATGTTTTTTATTATCCCAGTTTTGAAAAGCCTTATCAAGATCAGGTTTATTTTTCTTTAAAGTAGGACTGATAGAAAATGGTAGTTGTTGTATTAAATTGTAATTGTGATACTACATGTACAGGCAATATTGACATTGGGACTTGCACACTATTTAGATCATAAGGTGTATCATGGAGACAAGTTAGGTGGTTTTAAACCCAGACTTGTTAGTAGCAACCAGTAGAGTTGCGTGCTTGTTTATATAAGAGGGGGTCACGGTGGCTAAGTGGGTAAGACGCTGGCTCGCTAACCTGGAGATCGGGTGTTCGATCCCTGCATTGGCCAAGAAAGTTCATCCAGATTTTATGGCGTGGTTCCCCCGCTTGTCAGTGATGCAGGACGAAGGGCCTGATAAGGACAGGTCGTTCAGATGGGACGAAAAACCGAGGTCCCGTGTACACATTGGCGTGCATGTAAAAGATCCCTTGACAGTTGAAATTCAATATAAGAGTAGACAGTAGTGCCGCTGTCCAGGCAAAATTTCCCTCATATCACACTGTATGGCGTATGAATGTCTTCATTAGCCCAGTTCGGAGCAGAACAGTAGGATGTTAAACCCCATTTCATTTCATTGTTTGTATAAGTTTTCTCTCTGATTTGGGGTTTCTGCCCTTTGCTAAAGATAAAAACACACAAACGAGTAATGAAAGATGTGTATGTTGGTCCTGAAATAAATAATAAATAAATACTTCATTCATTATATCGTCGGTGGAGAGCCAAAAATTGCCTAGAAGTTAAGAATCAAAATGTTGTGCAGAAACAACATGTCACAATTTTGTATGTAAAATAACATGTTTTTAAAGATTTTCTCAAAAATTTAGGTAAAAAATGTATGTGTATCCGTTTAAACAGTAAAAGAGTATGTAGCTAACAGCACATATCAGGCTAAACATCTAGTGCAGAAATATACAGCAGACATATCTCATGAAAAAATTAACCTTTACCTGCTTCAATTTCATAGATTTCACACAGTAGAGGCTCAACAATGATTTCAATAATAAGTAACTAACCATAAAAAAATGCTGGCTATATTTCGTTTGATTGTAATGCTTTGTTAAGACACAAAGTGTGACAAAGTTGATTTTTTCAAGGAAATAAGACATTATTGTTCTGAATATTGATATTTTTCTGTAACACCTCATATATAACATTTTCAAACAATATCTATAAAACATATTTTTACTGGCTTAGAAATATGACAACTAGATGAAAAGATGCACAAGAAAATTCACATTTCCGAGGAAGCAAAAAAGTGAATTTCGCAAAAATGCCAGATATAACCTTTTGATTCCCCACCAATGATATGTGTTTTCTGACTTTATGATAGGTAAAGGTATATCATCATATGCAGCAAATCCTGAAGGCTTGACTGATGGATTGAGACATTGTTTAGACTTTGCTAAAACCACAATACCAGATGATAAATGGAGTTCATCTCCAGTATATCTTGGAGCTACAGCTGGTATGAGATTATTAAAGTAAGGTTTATCCTTTATTCCAAGATTTTTTTTTGAATACTGGAAAGTTTACTTTTCTTGGATTATATGTGGTAGCGCCTACTCATCATAGCCTACCACAACTTCTTATTTGAGGAGATCAAATAGCTTCACAAACTTTGGCATTTTAATTTAGGAGGGTTGAAGTTGTATAGCAAGTGTCCTGTAGATCACTGGGTTTGTGTAATTGATGAAGATGTGTGTAATGCAATCCCATGCTTGTACGTGGCAATCTAATCATGTGTTTTTAGTTCAGAATCTTTGTTTGCCTGGCAGTGTTATAAAGACACCTGCACACAAATGAATTATTGAAATTAAATATATACACACATGTTAGTTGTGAATTCACCTAATCAGTGTGAATGAACTGCTCTCTCTCACACACTCATATATTTACTAAAGCGTTATTTCTGTTTACTCTTAAAATCATGTTAAGTTCCTGCTTTTCTTTTCAGTGAAGTTAATTCCAATCAAAGTAGTGCTATTTTGATCGAAGTTCGTAAAACAATACAAGAATATCCATTTAATTTCACGGATCCTGTCAGACAAGCTAGAATTATTAGTGGAGAAGAAGAAGGAACATTTTCCTGGGTTACAAGTAATTACATCAGTAAATCACTTAATGGTGTAAGTTATTTAAATATCATTACACATACATCTAAAGAAAATACAAGCTGTTAAACTTTATGGCAAAAATTCATCATAGGAATTTATCAGATTTGTCTAGACATTCTAGAATAGTTTGTGTTACATATGATTGTTTTTAAGCCTTTTACATTGTGGTCAAAGAAGAGATAACTCTTTCTACTCAGAAATTGTTTTCCATGTTAATTAGATTTGTAGATAGTTCTCCAGTACTCTAAATTTGTTAACTTTTTGACTATACCGGTATATTTCTTAACTGGTTTTCTTATACATAACAAATTCGTGGTCTAAGGGGAGATAACTATCTGTGTATAGGTTGCCCTTGATAAAATCAATAATGTATTATTCTGTAGACATAAATCAAAAATCATTCAACCATACCATAAAATGGAGAAACCAACAGATACTCGCCAGGAATATCAAATCCTGTAAACAGCTACATATCTGTGAAGCTATAGAAATCCAAACACACAGCTTGACTATCAATACAGACACTGGTTTATTTATATCCAACGCATGGGATGATTTGATATAGTCGTGAATTTTCAGAAATGAAATGGGGTTTAACGCCAGTGTAGACACAAGACCTCAGTTTTTTGTCCCATCTGAAAGACTAGACAGCTGTCCTTGTCAGGCCCTTCATCCTGCACAACTGACAAGGGGAAACCACACCTAAAAATCCTGATGAACTTTTTCAGCCAATGCACGACTTCTTGTGAATTATCATGTTATGGATTTATGTTCTTATAATTATATTCTCCTGGTCTATCAAATTAACACCTATAACTATAAACACTATATATATATATATTGTAATGCCTTTATCAGTTTAGAGAAGATTGGCCTGTTATTTTATTAAATTGTTATATTGGAAAACCCTATTAATGTTGGATGTTTGGTCGCTGGTAATTTCTCTATTAATTTGTAATGTCTTAGGTACTGATTATATTTTTGTTATAACTTCCTAGTTTTGATTGTGAAACCCTATAATTGGAAACAAGATATTAGTGATTCAATTTTAGGCTAGTCTCGATCGTCATTACTACAGTTGGTATAATAATGAACAAAGTCTCAATTATCCATCGCCCATCATAAAACGTATTCAAATCCACTAAGTATCACAGGTTAACGATGGCATCAAGAGTTAATATGGTCTTGATAAGTTAATTAATGTCTAATTAATAATTAAGATAACATTTCAGTCCTAAAGAAAGACCTGCAATAGGCAGATTTATCTCTTGCATAATGCATGTTTAATGTTGTTTGCATTGTGTTTTGTTATGAAAAATCATTAATGCAATAATCTGTAGACATGAATCAACATTACAGCGTTACAAATCTCTTCATTATCGTTGTGGTCCAAGGGAAGATAACTCTTCCAATAAGTTTGGTTGGTCAGTACTTACTGATGAGTACTTAAAATTAAATAATCTGGAGACAACATTAATTCTTTAGATTGTGAATTTTCAAAATAGTAAAGGGAGAAATGTATTATGATTTATGATTTTACATTTAAGAAGAACCCACTGCCATCAGAATTAAATGCTGTAAAATCTAAGACTATTGGTGCTTTAGATATGGGTGGTGCGTCAGCTCAGATATCTTTTATACCAGCTAATTCTACAAGCATGCCTGCTAACTACAGTAATACAGTGCGATTATATGGTGAAAATTATACTCTCTATACACACAGTTTTCTTTGTTATGGAGTAAATGAAGCTATAAGAAGAGTTCAGGCAGCTTTAGCAGCAGTGAGTATTAAAACTGATTTGGAATTTTCCATCAAATTACTCAAGATGTGTTCTAATGAAATGGGAAAATCCCTAATCCAAAAACAGTATTAATTTTTTTCAATGTCTAGAAGAACAAAACTGTTGCTATTTTCATATTCATTACCTGGGAATGCGTGACTTTAGAAATGGGAACTGTCCTTCTTTGATAAACGAATATTGTTTCATTGATGAAATAATGGTGAACTCTCTAATTCATTACATGTTTTATTTTACAATTTATAGCAACAGAATTACAATTTAACAGTTAAAGATCCATGTGCACCAAAAGATTTTGTTATTAACACAACATATGAGAATGTATTTAAAGCACCATGTTCTAGTGGTAGACATGCTATAGAAACTTACGGTTATAATATAGATTTACCTGCAGATATCACAGATATGGTAAGTAATATTTCACACATATATGAACTGTCAAAAAGATCCACCTGACGTACCAAGACATTTTGTGATATTATGTTTTATTTAGAAATAGTAATAGTAAAATGGTTGTAAGACAGATTGTGATTGATAAATTTCATTCATTTCGACAACATTAATGATGTCTTTAAGACCAACTGATAGTGATAAAAGACAAAACTAATGAACTTGGCTGATGCATAAATGTTGTATATAGTAGGAGCTATTATAGCAGAGTATGGAGTAGTATCTGTATTCATTGGAAATGAATACCAGCCAAAGAAATTGTAAATGATCAGCTAACTATATAACAGCTATATAGTACTGTCTTATCAGGAATTCAAAAGTTCAATTCACGATTTTTATGCTATTTAAATACATTTTTTTCAGAATGAAACATTCCATTTTGTAGGGGAAAGTAATGCTACTGCATGTCAGGCATTTGTAGAAGAAAATTTATTTAATTTTACCGAATTCTGTAATTATAAACAATGTTCATTTAATGGACAGTATCAACCAGATGTTTTTGGTGAATTTTATGTAAGTTTTAAATTTCTTTTAGTAATTTTAAGGGAGGGGCGGATGTATACCCAAAATAACACAGACTTATTTAGGTGTACAGCATGTTCAGTTGCATTGCATTGGCTCACAAGTTCAGACAAAAATACAGGCATTTGAATTCAAGAGTTTCAACTAAGATATTCTGTGCATTTTGAGTATAATATAGTCATTACTATGTCAAGAGTTAGGACTGTTCAGTTTACATATAGAATAGAGGGATTCAGATGAGAGTGCAACTGAAGAATGGGTTAATACTTGGAAGTGTGCGATATATATACAAGTATTCTGTTGACTGTTTTAATGTATATAATTTCATATTTTAGGCATTCTCCAGTTTTTATTTTGTGACAACATTTTTAAATCTAACACAAGATAATAAACAATTTACGTTAGAAGAATTTAAAAAGACTACTGAGGAATTCTGTTCTAAAACCTGGGAAGAGGTATGGTATTTAAATATTTTCTTTCCAGAACACGATATCACTGTTTCTAATGGAGAAGGAGTGTCTGGTTTCATTACATGAATACCTTGACTAAGTTCGATAAGTTTGTCATCTATTTATTATTGAACACAGAATCAGTTAAATGTTAATTTAGTCTTTTTGAATTACTAATGGCTAGTGTATATTGAATGGATTTTTAATATGAAATGATAATATGGTAAAAACCCAATATATGTTCACATCTTATAAGGTATTTGATATGGATAGTATCAATGAAATAGGGGAGGGGGGTGGCTGAATGGTTTAAAGCGTGCATGTTAAATCACAAGGTATGTCATTAAGTCAAATGGCATGGTTTCAACTCCCCGCTTGTACATGACATGGAGTAGGGTCGCCTGTCCAAACTCGTGGGTTTTCTCCGGGTCCTCTGATTTCCTCCCACTGCTAAAGTCCCCTATGCGCAAGCAAATTTTTGATGTAAAATTGAACCATATGTTAGTCCCAAAATGACCTAGTTTGTGTTGAGTGGATGTTAAACCCCATTTCTTTCTCTCTATCATTGAAATAGTTTAATATTATTAGATCCTCAACATTTAAAAGGAGTATAAAGGTCCTTCATTTAAACTTATTTTTATAGATGAAATTTGAAAGTGATTATTATGTTATAATATTAAATGAAAGAAATTCTTTTATTACAGGTAGAAAATATTCCTGCTGTATTACCTAAACAAAGACCATGGTATTGTTTTCAGGCTAACTACATTATAACTATGTTAACGAAAGGTTATAAATTTAATGATGAAAACTGGAATACATTAAGATTTGTTGGACAGGTAAATATTATATAAACAAAACTTTCTAACTATTTCTTTATGAATAAAGTATGTTGATTTTTGTGGGGAAGTATATTGTCATCACTTCTCTCACTCTTGTCAGTTCATGCATCCTCAGTTCTTGTTGACACTCTAGATAATTAAGTTTTGAGGTTCTTTTCCTAATGTACTGTGATTGTTCAAGTATTCATTAGGATGAAACCTATCGAAATTTAATCGTATGTGGAATTTTCTAATAGTTGTGCCGTGAAACTGTGAAAATTATTTGCATGTCTGAATTTTGTTATAAAACCTTTCTGTAATTGTTGATTTGGTAAAAAGAAGAACCTGATTGAAATTCAGTCACATAGTACCGGTAATTGTTCAGAGTAATACTAAACACCCCTTCCAATGAAATCTTGTAATGTATTTAAAGGGAAGAGTTGTTTTGCCACTAAGCCTCAGATCATAAGAAAGCTTAAAGCAAGTAGATAATCAGCTCAACTTGTTCAACTTAACATTTTCAAATTTGCAACCAATGTCATTCAGTTCCTCTACACAGTGAATGGAAGCGACAAGGAATATTTTGTTGCCAGCTTATAGATGCATTATGTAAGAGCTCAATCTGCCTATTGCAGGTCTTTATTTTGGCTTCAATTTAGACATTTATTCACATGAAAAGCCTATAATCAATTAACAAGTACCGTTGCTACGATAATAGACATCTATGCCACATCTGGTCAAAACTTCAAACAGTGATAACTTTGCTCAGAATAAAGTAGTTTGAATGAAATTTCCAATATTTTTTATTTTGCATTATCTATTTTTGAACTATTATAGCAAGAACAGCCTGCTGTTTATCTAAATCTTACATAATGCATCTTTCACCTCATTGTTTGTCTTCAATTTCCTCTCACTTATAAAGAAAATATTTGAAATATATATATACCATATATTACTCCTGATCTAAACTACTGTCTAGTTTGTGTTGAGCAACATCGTAATATAGATATTTAATTAAATCTCCTCTGGTGCTGTCAGAAAATGGTACTTCTCTTTTGACAATATCCAAAACAAACCTTATAAATAAGATGGTGTTATTGCTCTTATGAATTGCATTGACATATACTGTCGTAATTTAATCCTGCCTCGTTTCACAGTGTTCAGGAGAGCAAAGACATCAAAGCTGGCTGTGTGTGTAATTTCTTTGTTAATGAATATGACACAATTTATTGTGGGATCAAGATAGGCCTGGTGTAGACCAAACTTGTGACTTAGTACACCTAGTTGTAAGTAATTTGTGAGCAACTGGAAGCATCTGGCAGCAACGATTAGTTGCTGGAAACAGGTTTGGTCTATGTACTCTTATGACTGAATGGAGTTGACATTTTATCAGTTGATGATGTTCTGCTTTTCAAGATATAGGCTGTAATATATCACATGACTGTGTCAAAATCCCTACAAATCATGATGAAATGAATGAATACATAACGTAAATAAATTTCAGGCCTACAGATGTAACTGTCACTCATTTGGCAGATACTATGTCTGGCATACTAACCTTGAAAGCCACCATTTTGTTTATTTATACTAGGAGTGGGACTGTCACATGATTAATAGAAAACTTGGCTTCTTGTTGTAAATTGGTGTCGATGTGTACTTCTTTTTGATGTATGGGTTGTGCAGTTTGATGTGATAGTATTTCTCAGTTTCAAGGCATTACTGTCTCGGGGATGACAGATCAGAGATTAGCATTTTAGTGTTTTATACCACTAATGTAATTGTATAATTTCAGATAGAGAAGACAGATATTGGATGGGCTTTAGGTTTTATGTTAAATGAAAGTAATCAGATACCTGTTAGTATAGTAGTTGATCCTTTTAGTACTACACTCTTTGTTTTATTAGTTATTCTCTTTACTCTATTTATTATTGTATCTATTGGTTTTGCCTGTCATGCCCGTAGAAATATTAAAACTAAAGGGCGAGTCAATTCATTATTTTCTAATTACGGTGCAGTGTAATTTATATTGTATTTTTAAAGAGGCATCAGTGCTTGAATTAATTTTTATTTCGATTTGAGATCACCTGACTTTACAGTTAGATTGGGCTGGTAATTAGTTTGCCAAGCCATCACTGAGATAGGCATGCTTTAACTTTTATTCATATCATATGCTAGTTTGTTTAAATGTAAATCAATGCACGTGACTTGAGGTCATATTCACCTTTAGCTAAAGTCTTTCTTCATTGAAATATTAATTTCTAGTAAATCCACTATATTAAAATTGAAGTTTTTGAACTTTTAAATCGTTATTGTATAATATGGACTTGACGTGATTTTAATTTTAATAATGAAAAAAATATGTACATTGTTAGTTGAAGATTATTTTTAAGATGATTGTCAGGGAAATAAAACAAACATTTAATTCATGATAGAAATAAGGTTTATATGTCGTTTTAATGTCTGTAAAAGATTTTTCTGATGATTGTCATAAACTAATGGTAATTATTACATTGTAACATTGGGTAACGGTAATTAGTAATAGTTTTTTCAATAAATTATTTAGCCATGTACTATCCCTACTAAAAAGAAAAGAGCTTTTGTATGGCATGAACAATGTTAACTACAAAATACTCTTCAAAATGTCGGCAAAATAAAATAGTAATATTTGTTCTTCCAATTGTTGTTATAGTTTTTTTCACTTAATTATTATTATTTAAAGACGTGTTATGTAAAATTTAGATAAAGAGCTAGTCGTTCTTGCTATAAAATTTCAAAAATAGATTATGCAAAATGAATATATTAAAAATCTCATTCAAATTACTTTATTCTGAGAGAAGATATTAGCCTTTGATTGTAATCACTGTACCGGTTGTTCGAAGCTTAGCCTCACTTCTCCATTTTTAAATTAAATCATTAATATGGCATGGAGAATTCATTATGATCTTGTCATGTTAAGAAATGTCTAATTAATAGTTTATGTAACATTTAAGGCCTAAAGAAAGACCTGCAGTAGGCAGATTTAGCTCTTGCATAATGCCTGTTTAAGATTTACCCATGTGATGGAAATCACCTCGGGTAAAATATATTCCTTTGTACAATTAAATATTTCAAGGCATAAAAAAGTTATCTCCTGAAATCCGTACTTTTACGATAATTCAAGTTTTGTATTTGACCAAACAATTAGTCACAGTTTGGGTATTCACACACATAAATATGTCCGTTGACCGTTATATTTTGTTTCTATTTATACTTCCCAGCCAGATTGCTTTTTGTATTGCAAATACAAGTAAACAGGTTGATATTTCAAGTGGGAACTTTTTTATGCATTGTACAATAGATTTTGGAGGTAATTTCAAACATATAGGTTAATAACCATAATTAAGTAGTTTGTTCATACAGTCTATTTATTAACATGTCATATTCGATGATAATATGTGCACTCCTGAATATCTTTAAAACTTATCATTCAAATAAACACGGTACTTGACAATCGAGACTGAGCCTCAATTATCTATTTTATCTTTAAATCTTGTGGGTGTTCATATCCATTTAAATCGTGGTCACCCAATAGTCTAGAGAGTTAATTTTAGGCTTAACTCATGTGAATTAATTTCTAAATAATAATCAATCTGATCAAAATACAGATCTATACTCCGTTTGTTTTTTTATACGGGTTATATAACAACTCTTACAAATCCCAGTGTAGTAAAGACAAGTAAACAAAATTTTGAACTATTAAAACATCGAAACGAAATAGGATCTGGGTTTTAATCAGATTGAATAATTGAAGCCAGAAAAACAACCCTGCAAGAGGCAGGTTTAACTCTATACATTTTTGATTATATTATTCTGTAGCATTGTCATATTAATATCTCTACTTCATGTCAAATTCCAATACCAGATTTTCATAAAATTATGGTTCCATTTTTTTTGTTTGTGATGTCATTTATTGTTAAATTTTAATGAAAGTGATACAGAAGTCTGTGATGTAGAATGATATGCAAATAAATTTATATTTTATTTAACTAATTGGGTATAATTTTTTAATATTGATTTATCAAGGTAAAGTTGTGTGGGTGTGAATTGGCCTTGTGCCATTTCTGTAAATGACAAGAAGTTGAATGTTTTGTGGTGGACTACCTGAAGATATAACAACCTGATTTTGAAACTCGATATTTCCTATGTTGTAATGATGTTAATGAACTTCTAGCCATCATATATGTGATTTTCTATATATACCAGCGGCTGCCAGGCAGGATACGCCCACATTTTCGGGAGATGGATAAAAAACAAGCTAAAACGAAAGTGATTTTTCCTACAATCAAGGTTGATATGCGCAAATATCGAAAGGAACCAAGATCTTTGAGTTATAAACTTACATTTCAAGTTTCAACAAAATCAGATAAAAATTGTGACCTCTATAGGGTCCACAACCTTGATATACCATATTTTTACGCAATTTGAGAACGAGGGGCTGCCATTTTGTCTGTCAGTTTTGGGCCGATTTTCACGAAATTCGAACTCAGTCGTCCTTAGGGTGTAACGGTGATATAATAATACGTTTTTTAAATCGGATAAAAATTATGACCTCTATAGGGTCCACAAGCTAAAAACGTGATTTTTCGTACAATCAGGGGCCTTAATTCAGGAAGTTACGGTCCGATATGCGCGAATATCGAAAGGAACCAAGATCTTTGTGTTATAAACTTACATTTCAAGTTTCAACAAAATCGGATAAAAATTGTGACCTCTATAGGGTCCACAACCTTGATATACCATATTTTTACGCTATTTGAGAACGAACGGCGGCCATTTTGTCTGTCAGTTTTGGGCCGATTTTCACGAAATTCGAACCCAGTCGTCCTTAGGGTGTAACGGTGATATAATAATACGTTTTTTAAATCGGATAAAAATTATAACCTCTATAGGGTCCACAAGCCAAAAAAGGTGTTTTTACGTACAATCAGGGGCCATAATTCAGGAAGTTACGGTCCGATATGCGCGAATATCGAAAGGAACCGAGATCTTTGTGTTATAAACTTACATTTCAAGTTTCAACAAAATCGGATAAAAATTGTGACCTCTATAGGGTCCACAACCTTGATATACCTTATTTTTACGCTATTTGAGAACGAACGGCGGCCATTTTGTCTGTCAGTTTTGGGCCGATTTTCACGAAATTCGAACTCAACCGTCCTTAGGGTTTAACGGTGATATAATAATACGGTTTTTTAAATCGGATAAAAATTTTGACCTCTATAGGGTCCACAAGCCAAAAAACGCGTTTTTGCGTACAATCAGGGGCCATAATTCATGAAGTTACGGTCCGATATGCGCGAATATCGAAAGGAACCAAGATATTTGTGTTATAAACTTACATTTCAAGTTTCAACAAAATCGGATTAAAATTGTGACCTCTATAGGGTCAACAACCTTGATATACCATATTTTTACGCTATTTGAGAACGAACGGCGGCCATTTTGTCTGTCAGTTTTGGGCCGATTTTCACGAAATTCGAACTCAACCGTCCTTAGGGTTTAACGGTGATATAATAATACGGTTTTTTAAATCGGATAAAAATTATAACCTCTATAGGGTCCACAAGCCAAAAAAGGTGTTTTTACGTACAATCAGGGGCCATAATTCAGGACGTTACGGTCCGATATGCGCGAATATCGAAAGGAACCGAGATCTTTGTGTTATAAACTTACATTTCAAGTTTCAACAAAATCGGATAAAAATTGTGAACTCTATAGGGTCCACAACCTTGATATACCATATTTTTACGCTATTTGAGAACGAACGGCGGCCATTTTGTCTGTCAGTTTTGGGCCGATTTTCACGAAATTCGAACTCAATCGTCCTTAGGGTTTAACGGTGATATAATAATACGGTTTTTTAAATCGGATAAAAATTTTGACCTCTATAGGGTCCCCAAGCCAAAAAACGCGTTTTTGCGTACAATCAGGGGCCATAATTCATGAAGTTACGGTCCGATATGCGCGAATATCGAAAGGAACCAAGATCGTTGTGTTATAAACTTACATTTCAAGTTTCAACAAAATCGGATAAAAATTGTGACCTCTACAGTGTTCACAAGCCAAAAACGTGATTTTTCGTACAATCAGGGGCCATAATCCATGAAGTTACGGTCCGATAGATGCCAATATCGAAAGGAACCGAGATCTTAGGGTGATAAACCTATATTTCAAGTTTCATTGAAATCGGATAAAAATTGTGACCTGTAGACTGTTCACAAACAATTGTGGACGGACGGACGGACGGACGGACAGGGGCGACAACAATATACGTCCACATGAAAATGTGGGCGTATAAAAATAGTACATGTGTATTGTATAAAGACAGAAAAACAAAAACAATAGAAGGCTTAAGGCAAGACTCCTTATACCAAGATTTTGGACGTCATACTCTGGTCATTTCAGTACTTTGCCATATGTCTGTGTTGTAGGAACCTCAATATGCACGTAAGCCCTTTTGAAAGACCTTGTGGCAATATATTATAAGAGTTCATTATTTCATTTGTAGTCTTGTTCCAATTATGTTGCCCTGTAACTTCAATAAGTAGATCACCAGGTCTTCTTCAATTATTTATGCCAGGGTAGTGTTAAATGACTACAACCAGGGTGCAATCCAGTAGTCATATTTTTATCTCTTACAGTAGCTGATGATCATTTGTATTTTTTGGACAAAATATCTAATATATACTTCTTCATTACACTAAAAGTAAAAATCTACAAACCTAACCAAATTAATATACCTATAATAGATAATCTCCCGTCTTGGATTCAATTGGATATAAAAGGTCCATCAAAAGATATTAGCAAGGATTATAGGTGGCGTTGACTTATTTCATTTGGTGAAAGACAACACTGCCATAAAACAAATCAAATAAAAACATATTTCAAAATGGTCACAAACTTGGTCATAATGCCCCTAAAAAATCATCTGTTAAATATTTGTTATTTAATATGAATCCAATGAATAACAAATTTGGACTGTTCTGGTTTACCTAGCTTATGACCATATATGGAATTGAGACTAAAGTTGAAAAATTATAATCCTTTAATTCTTCAGAGATATTTAGTAACTGGATAAAACAAACTATAACACATACTTATGGAAGAAAGTTACCTTGACTAACAAGACACATCTACAAATTTCTGGTTTTGAATGGACTATAATTGGAATATCAAGGATTGTCTCCAGATAATATCCTTTTAAACAAATTAAAACAAAATGACAGTGACTTGCACTGGTAATCAAACAACTGAATGTTTCATTCTAAAATACATGCCTTAGGCAGTAGGATCTTACCAAGATTCTATCACAAGGTAGAAGGCATAATTTTTCTGTCACTTATCTGCTGGTTGGTTGTCATATTTGATGTTACTATCAGATACAGGTTCACATACAGATCTCTTCATATGTAAGATAATTTCAGAATGAAAGTCATAAGGTATTGAAAGATTCAATACAAATGTGCTATTGGGTATTCTAGAACAAATTAATTAGTCAGTCTCTTGTATGACAATCATCAGGAATAACAGCCATTGTTTTATGTCTATTTGGCCCTATGATTACTGATGTCATTCAAATACTTATTGTGGCTCAATAAGGTGCTGGCTCACATACCAGAGGTCCAGGGTTTGATCCCAGTGGGCGGGGACAGTTTCTTGGGACTTTCCAGTTGAACAGAATGGAGGGCCTTGCAAGAAACAGCATCTAGACGTTCTGATGAAAAACCAAGGTCCTGTGTACATGTTGGATTACACATAAAAGAAACCTGTGACAGTTGGAATTTGATAAGAATAAGAGGAAACACTGTTGTCAGGGCAAAATATCCCAATACTAATAGCACACTGCATTGTGTATATCTGTCTTCTTTAGCCCTGTTTGTACAGAAAAGTAAGTCAGATCACAGTACAGTCAGTTCATGTCATCCGTTTAAAGTGACTGATTGACTTTGACTTTAAATATTCAAACAAAAACATATAATAATATTGATATTTATCTTTATTTAGGTTATTGCCATATAATATCTGGTGATTACACAAAATTCAATTTAATATGATAATTTGAAATATAATAATGCAAGAATTCATTTCAGAAGTAACAAAAAAATGAGACATTTTATAGCACATTTAGTCTCACATACAACACACAAATATATAAATTACAAGAAATATAGCCTCTGGATTCAAGTCATTCCATTGTAAATCAAAAATTACTTGGGCTTAAACTATAGTATATTTCAAAATTCCAGAAAAAAGTATAGTCACGAGTTTGAAATTATTTTGATTCAAATAATATGCCAGATACTTATAATACAAGGCGTTAACTTGGAATGTTCAAACACAAATTCATCAAGTCTGTGTAGACAGGAAAAATTGATTAAAATTTTTTTATATTTTTTATATTGCTGTTTAAGTATGATAACGAACACCAGAGAGCAAAATAATGTAACCCAATGTCTTTTCTTTCATGTTTGTTCAGTTATGGTTACAGAATTTATGAGTCTCAAAATGATTAGGAATTTAAAACAAATAAATTGTAGATTTTATGTTGAATTTTCCTTTTTTCCCCTGGAAAATGTGAACTAAACCCTAGGTCTTTTCTCAAAGACAAGTAATTTTTTGTCATAGTCATGTCATTTTAAGAGTGGATAAAGGGAAAAATAAATCTTTTAATTAAAATATATTTGATCATTAAATAACAGGTTCCACATTTTGGATATTATATATATCTTCATTTAGATAATATTGTTTAAATCACACAGGCTATATTATAAATGTAATTTAATCCAAAGTATGACATAAGAATGACATTGACATTTAAAGCGAGGTAGATGAGAATATTAGTTGTAAGAAATAAATTCTTTTTAAACAAATATTCAGAATAATTATATTTTGTCTGAATAAAGACAATAAGGCAAGATTATGAGTTCATCCCATTCCTGTAAGAAATATATCCCTCCCATTAATCAATCTCATTTTCCGTAACAACATCGATACTTTCAGGAATTGTAAACCAACTTTTAAGCAGGTTTCTATTTTAGTAGGGTGAAATGCGTGCATCAAGTATAAATATTCTGAAGTAAGAAAGAGAATGCTAGAAAAGCTTGTCTCAAGTACTTTATGTTTTACTAAAGTTGATAGAACCATGTAAATACATGGTTAAAAAAAATATATATTATGTCCCGAGTTGACCATTATTGAACCATTTATTTTCTTTTAATCTAAGATATTGACTAAAGAGAAAACCAATTAACATCTTTCAACTGATGTTTATTTCGGTATTGCACTAAAAACTAACAGAATTAACATAAATTTGGATTAATTTCTTTGTTAACATACTCACAATTCAAAAATGCCCAAAAGTACAAAATTATAATTCAGTAATTTAAAATCAAATATTCATTGTCTTAAATAAAATAACTTGTGAAAAAATTGTGTAGAAAGCAAACTAAAACAAAAAACTAACAAGATAACGTTAGGTGTGGACAAAAACTTGGTGAAAACTTTGAAAACAAAACTAATAAACCCGTAACAATAATTACCGAACTCCAACAATGAAAAAACAAAATAGTGTGGAGGCATCATAGGTGCAGAACAAGGGGATTTGTTTAGTTTCATTCCTTTTCCAAATTTTCTTTATTAAGCACCTTATTTCATGTCACATAACGAATTTCAAAAAGGATATTTGTCAAGAAATGAGTTATGAAAAAGAAGATTTTATATTAATTATAATGATAATGCTTTACAATACTTCACTTTTACATGTACATAGATAACTTTTCACACTCATACATTTTCGCATGCAAACATTCATTGTTAGAAAATAGATGTCAAAAATACACGTTAAATAGTTAGAAGAAAAGGTCGTCATAGGTTAAATTTAAGCAAAAGTTGAAAATATAATGAAAAATTGATGATGTTGAAGTATATATACACTGATAGGTAATTTATACAATGTCGCTCGATATATAAATTGGATATCTTGCCTGTGTTAATACAAATACATAAGCTAACTTAGTATATGTTAATAATATTAATGTTGGCGAAGAAAAATAAGTGATTAAAAAATAAAATGTAGCAAGATGACTAGAGTTGTAATGTTCAAAGCACCTCCAAAGTGAGTAAATGTAATGACATTTCAGTATGATAATAATAACTGCTGATTCATTAAAGGCAGAGAAACACTGTGAAATTTGCATTTGTAAATTTTTTGATCTATACAAATTACACCAAGCCAGCCTCACACACTATTTTGGCTATTATATGCTGTGATATAGTATGCCTCTATTAGCAAAATCACAGTGTGTTATACTGGTTTCAGGATTTCAAAGATGTTTAATGTATCCTAAAATGTACATGATTTTAGGTCTTTTTTTTGGGGGGGGGGGGGGGGTATCTCATGTAACAAGCCACCCTATTCTTTGGTTGCCATGGAAACTGTCATGATTATAGGTGAAGGATTATTCTGCCTCATATTTTGATTAAAAGAATACTTTCTCCAAGAAAGCTATATAATGATTCTTCCCTTACATGTAATTTAAATTCAAGACACTCTGTAGTATTGTTGAATTCTATGAAATGATTATATTTTACATACTTATATAAAGCATATCACAAAAACAAAAGTGGGCTAACAAAAATCAACTTTTAAGTTATTTTAAAGAAATACACAAATTTTGCACAGCACAAAAAATAAGATACTAATTTTAACTATAACAGATGACTAATAAGTCTGAAAATAGAAATGGTAACAAAAAATAATGTTTATTACAAGTAGAAATATTCACTATGAAATGCACTACTGACATTAAATTCTGTAACAACAAAAAATGTTGTGTATAGTGTGTACTTTCTAAGCGAGATTTATCTACATATTAATTGCTGGCGACATTGATTCACAACATTTAAAAGAATTTTATGACTGAAATGAAGCATCTGGTTCCTATGACGGCCTATAAATTACATTTACTTAGAATTGAGAGAAGAGGAAGATTCAGTTTTCAGACTATATCTTATTCGGGAGCAGGTCTAACATTAGAATACACAGAATTGTACGAGAAAACTGGATTAGAATACACAGAATTGTACGAGAAAACTGGATTAGAATACACAGAATTATAATGAGAAAACTGGATTAGAATACAGAGAATTGTACTAAGAGAACTGAAATCAGTTCCAAAGACTTGGGTCTCTTATTATTCCTATGTGGGTTGATGAATTTGATCCATTGAAAAGTACAGAGACAGATGGAATAAATTTGGCGATACATAACATTCTTCCATACCAACATCACAACACCCAATTAATTACCCTATAAAAAGCAAATAGTAGCATTGATATATAACAGCAGCAACAAGACACTATACAGGCAAAAAAAAAAGTAATTTGAGGTATCATTTTCACTGGAGCTTAGAATATATTTCTTTTTTAAAACCATAATCATGTATAATATATAATTTTTTAAATATAATCTGTCTATGCATTTCATGATTTGTGTTGCAATATTTGATTTTAAAACTTGCAGTATATTTTCTTTATAATTATAATGAAATTTTTCAAGTTTCATATCATTCTGTTGAAAATATAGTTTATAATACACATCCATTTGTGGATAATTTCGAGTCAATTTGAAAGTTTGTTACCAGTTTTGTCATCACAGACAACTTCGGTAAAATTTTGCACAATATATTTATATATTGTGTGTACAACACAATTTAAATAGAATAGATTTATAGCTATACACATATATTTTATATATTTCATTGTTTTGGAGCAATATATATTTTTGTATAAGACATCTCTTGTTCCCATGAGTCCATTGTTTTCACATTAACCAAGTCTATTCTTGGGAGTTATAACACTTGCTATATATAATAGCTAACATTTTCTTTTTAATTTATTATTCTTTTTAAAGACTCTCTACACTGAAGAAAGTTTGTTTGGTTTTTGACATTACTCTGACTGGCTGCTAACTTCTGATGCATCTGCTCGACATATAGGACATGTTCTATTTGTCTGTAAAGAAATTAAAGAACAATGTTAAAATGCAGGATCAAAAAGAGAGGGAGAGAGAAAAAAGGTTGACTGCACTCGATACAAACTAGGTCATTTTGGGACTAACATATTTTTCAATTTTATTTCAATAATTCACTTGTGTGTAGGGGTCTTCATCAGCAGTGGCAAGACCCAGAGAAAACCCACAAAGTTAGACAGGTGACCCAACTCCTTGTCATGTACAAGCTTGGAATCGAAACAATGCCAGACCTTACGATCTAAAGCACATGTGTTAAACCTTTCGGCAATCTGACCCCACCCCCAATCAGGATTAAAAGACTTACATTTAGGTTTTAGAAATGTCTTAATATACATGTGCATCTTTATGTGGGTGAGAATGGAAATGCGATCTTCAATAAGTCAGAAAAATATAAAATTTCATTTTCAAACGTAACTGATGTAATAGCAGACAGAAAATTTCTTTATGGCATCAACTATCAGAAATCTATATCTATATTTAATATATATGTATTAAGGCCATGTAAAATTGATACCTTGTTTCTTCTCGCCCGGGCTTAGGAATAGGGACACGAAAAACGCCCACACAGGTTCTCAACACAAAATAAAAATATTTAAAAAATACGAATTTTTAACCGAATGATAAGCGATCTACGAATGTTTAAAAGTTCATAGTATGCCGGTTCAGGTCTATAGCCATCGATTATACATAGTTAGGGCTTCGGTATACCATAGATAATGTACATTGCCTTTATTTAGCCAGAGACGTGTGTTTTTGATAATAATAATATTGTCCGATGAAAATACGGATCTTAAATCAATGCCGGCTTGCTAACGCCAACATCGTAAAGTTAGAATATTTTTTATTGGATGAAAGTGACAGGAAATGAAAAAGCGACTCTTAGGCGAGTCCTGGCTTGTGAAAAATCAGCAAGGGAGGGTCTGGCGGAGTATGGACTGATAGTTTCGCACAAAATCTGTCGGAAAGCAACAACATTTCTTGACTGGACAGTCATTGGCGTGCCGTATAATTTTACTTTTGACGACATTGTCAAGTCGGCGTACAGTGTGAATGATGATATAGTACCCCAAAACCAGTTTAAAAGGGATTTGCCAGCAGCCGATTGTTGCCATAAATTTTTCGTAGGTAAATCGAAGGAAGATCAAAACATCACTCAAATTGCGTCAAATTTAATAAAATGTTGGCCAGGACACCGACAGTTTTTTTAAAACAGATTTCAGACCTGAAATTGGTCATATATGTGGGGACATTTTAAGGTTTTAAAACTACATTAATGTAGTCTGTGGATATGTAAGTCTTTTATAAATTGTAGTTGTTTGCATGAAAAAAACTCAAGTGTATATCATATGAATGAGAAAGAATACCAAATTCATAGTGTATAAAGGCCTTGCAAAAGTTTGTGTTGAAAATTACAGTTTGTGTTGTGTTTACCGCACACCCTCTTAGGTTTACCCAGAGCATGGGGAGAAGAAACAAGGTATCAATTTTACACGGCCTAATTAGGAAACTATATATTTGCAGCCATAATAATTTTAATCTGTAATTTATGTTGAAAAGAATTGAAACGGGTCATGAACATTAACTTTGAAATACTTACTTTTAACCACTTATCCACACATTTTCCATGGAACTCATGGCTGCAAGGTAGCACTCGTAATAACTGACGATTTTCAAAGTCACACATACAGACGACACATGATGTCATGTCTAGATCAGATCGTCTTGTTTCGCTGTTAAATCTATAGGCAGGCAGCTGATCTATATCCGCTTTTGTTAAACCCCGGGGTTTAGCTTCACCCAAACGTTCAGCAAGATTCAACAATGCCTGAAATGATATTAAGCTATTCATATAATTTTTTCTAATATTTCTTTAAGAAACAAAATAAAAACACCTCTTAATTTATTTTAAAACAGAACTACAAATAACCCGACTAAATTGAATACATGGTGTTGAATTACTGGTTGAATACAATAGAGAGCAAGAAGAGACTGCATAATTTACTTTTGTCAGCAATCCAATAAGATATATTTCTCAAAAGACATTAATCAAAATCTAGGAAATGGACTAATTTTACAAGAATATCTGACATAAGAACAAAACAAATATTACGAGGATTTCTATCCTTGCCCAAGAAGAATAAAAGTAAAATTTCTCTATTAATCTTTAGATCAAGGTAAAAATTACCTCATAATTTTCAACTTCACTTGCCTCATCAGGATGTTCTCTTCCATATGGTGGAACTGGAGGATTACTTAACATGGCTCTATTAATAGAAAAAAATTGTCAGGATAACATACAAATCTGCTACTTCATATCTTATATTCATTAACCTGGAGGTCGGGTGTTCGATCCCTGCATTGGCCGAGAATGTTCATCCAGATCTTCCAGCGTGGTTCCCCTTGTCAGTGATGCAGGACGGAGGGCCTGACAAGGACAGCTGGCTTGTCGTTCGGATGAGACGAAAAACCGAGGTTCCGTGTACACATTGGCGTGCGCGTAAATGATCCCTTGCAGTTGGAATTCAATACGTGAGTAGGCAATAGCGCTGCTGTTCGGGCCAAAATTTTCCTCATAGCACACTGTATGGCCTATGCCCATCTTCATTAGCACAGTTCGGAGCAGAACAGTAGGACGTTAAATCCCATTTCATTTCATTTCTATATTCATTAAATTGATGTATAAATGGGTACAACATTTATTATTGCAGAGATTTTGTTCCTGCAAATCTACCAAATACCTTTCCTTATATAGTAACAAAAGTTCTCGAGAATATACTAAGGAGAGATAAAAGTCTCATTATTTAAATCTTGTCTTAACATTTTTCATACAGTAAATACTTACAGGAAATGAAGTAAAAATCCTGGATAAGGTGTGGGTGGAGGTGGTCGTAATCTACTTCTCGCTATAGATCTTCTTGGGTAATAACGGGAATAAGGACCCTAAAAAAAAAAAAACCAAGTAAAGAATCAAATAGGAGTACCATTATAAACTTGAAAGAAATTCTAAAACTTAAAAAAAATAAAGATGATTTTCTCTTCTGTTGAAGAATCTGAAGTCTATTGTGTTCTGTAATCCATGTGATGTGGATAGTATCTATATATCTGAAGTCATATTCTTCAATTTTGTTTCATACAAACTTATCACAACTTAAAGGGGCATTATTCAAGAGCTAAATCTGCTTATTTCAGTGCTTTCTTTAAGCATTAAATTTTATATAAATTAGACATTTATTATCATAATAATCAACTCTTGATGCCATCAGATGGCTCTGATTTTAAGTAGATCAGAACGGTTTTGCCATTTAATGATTTAATTCAAAAATGGAGAAGCAAGGCTAAGACTTGAATAACCAGCATAATACCAACGCACACATCTTGTCCAAACTACAAACAGTGATTACTTTGCTCAGATTAAAGTAATTTGAATGAAATTTTCAATATCTTTATTTTGCATTATCTATTTTTGAACTACTATAGCAAGAACAGCCAGTTCTTTATCTAAATCTTACATAATGTATCTTTAACTGGTAATTTCCAGGTTTTACGACATCATTTCAAATTGTGGGGTAACCTCATAGATCAGGTTCCGTCACCGATTTAAGATTGTTAGTGTCATTTACACCATTGTTAAAAATAAACATGTATTGCTGTAAGGGAGATATGTATACTTACATATATATCATGGGGTGATGGATGTACTGTAGGTTCTTGTAGGAATATAGGTGGGGAGGGATTGAGCTGCATATTAGGATGAATTCTGGGAGGAAGCTGATAATTAGGACGATGGTCTCCAATTAAATGGACGTCATTATCCTAAAAATAAACAATTGTTAGCACATTTTTATTATATAAATGTATTATTAGAATTTTTTGAATAACTGTTATAATAATTTGCTATAAGAGTATCTGCTAATATCATTTGCATGAAATTTGAAACTGATTACTAATTTGTGGAATAATATGAAATGATCAATGTTCGTGATCTACTAACCTGAACTTGTTGTGTTCGGCCTGAATAATAAGGAGGGGGTGCGGGGTAATGTTGCTGATGTATATGTTGTGGTGTTGGGTGATGAGATGGATGCAACATCGTCGGAGGCAACGACTGAGGTAATGGCACTTGCTGAAGACATGTTGGAAAATGCTGGACTCCACAAGAGGGTAACTGAACTGTACACGGTATTGACCATGTTGGTTGAGTGTTACACATCTGAACATGAGCTGTACTACACACTGGTAAATGATGAGGACCAGTGCATACTGGGAAGGCATATGGTGCCATAGTAACAGGTGTTGTGACAGGAATCTGCATAAATTAAAAAAGAATAAATCTATAGCTAAAAAAATAAATAAATCGAAAGTTAAAAGAAAACAGTAAAATGGAAATTGTTATAAAATAAAAAAAAATAAACAGAATATTTATAGAAATAAATATACACAAAATAAATCTTTTGTCCATTGTCACAATAAAGTCTGGAATCTGGATTGTCCAGTTTCAATATTAAAATGATTCATTACTAAACTTGCAATGGACCATAGAACTGCCTTTCTGATTCTGGAGCATATAACATTGACTCTTTGTGGTAGTACAATGTGACAAATCCCTATAGAATCAATGTAAGGGTCCACAATAGCAGGTCTATGAGACTGTGCGAGTCTTGTAATGTCTCATTAACTTTATATTGGACAAATTTTTTCCATAAATTCTTTTTCATTTTATTTGTATATTTTTTTTAATTTAATTAATTTTTTTTTTATAAAAAGAATCAGAAGAAAAAAATATAGCTATTGTGATCATGGGCGACCATACAACTATTTTATACATTTCAACTGTTCAGTACTAGGAACTATATTACATTTAACAAGAACAATGGTTTAAAATGTGAGGTTAACCAATCCATGGACAATGTATTATCCTCCAGGGGGTAAAAACAAAATGCAAGGGAGATAATCAGGTTTGAATAAGTCAAACCGGTTCTGAAAGCCAATCCTATAATTGACCTGAATATGATTCACAGTAACAAGGTGCTGTGTAATAGTAATATTGCATGTACTTTCGTAGTGTTATAACCACATGTTGTTTGGATTGATTTATATCAGATATAAAAAAAAGTCTACTGTTCCGGACAGAAGATAAATAATTTAGCGAGGAAAATGGTAAAGTCAATTTACCTGATCAACATCAATAATAACTGGCTGTTGTTGTCCAGGATTGGGTAAAACAGCCGCTGGATGGATCTGACGGCCCATTAAGTGCGGTGGCTGAAAAGCCCGTCTCTCAGGAGAATCTGCTGCATGTGTTATATTTCTTTCTCTTGTTCGGCGTCGGGTTCCAGGACTAGACGGGAAAAAGTAAAACCATAAACATTAACAATCATTCATAAATTGCTCCAATTCACTGAAATTTAACACAAAAACAGTTTGGTTTCAACTAACAATTTCAGAGAAGTTGTAGTCGAGTGATTAGACTGTAGTTGTAACAATCAGTACAGTTTTATAGTTCTGTTATATATTGAATATTCCTAAATCAATACACCCCTATACAGAACTATGATTGACTCGAAAAACTTTCATACAAATAGACAATTCATATTATTAATGATATGTAAATCAATGGTGCAAGCGACTTTGTAAAATAACCGCATAAATTTGATAAATAATATAAATTAGAGAATTGATTACAAAATGAATGTTTCAATAAAACCAAGATTCAAGTACAGTATATTATTTTAACAGGATATAAATATAATTGTTTGTATTTTTCATCCATTGGTCATGGTAAAGTCTCTGAATGTCAATTGAGGAATTGCGGAATCCCTTACAAACTACGATATTGTGAAAGGTGAATCGCTATAAAGAATATCTGCCCAAAAATTTGTCAACCTTCTGCATCCTTAAGAGACGACACTAACAGGATATGGTCAGAAGTCAGTGCCACCTGTAATCTACCTTTGATATTTTGATTTTGTTTTCTTCATTTTAGCGCAGATTAAACATGGAAAATTCAATAATTTTCAAAAAATGCAAATGATGCAACAAAGTTGTAAGTTACAGAGATTATTATCTAGAAATGATACAAAAAGGATAATAATATATACCTCCTACGTGCACGATCTCCAGAAATTCGTCTTTGTGTAGAGCTACGTCTTCGAGTTCTTTGGATTTCAGGAAAAGGCTCCCAAGTACGGACTGGGGGTGGGCTGGGAGTGTTGGTCAGGTCTACAATCCCACCTGATGTTTTACGCTGTTTTCTACTAGGACTCTCCGTCTGTAACACAAAAACAAACATGTAATTGGAGTAAAAAAGAAAACACTTTTTATCATTGTAAGTTTGCTACATAAATTTTAAACACAACAAATTTTCATTTTATGAAATGTATCATCCTCAATCACTAGAATGAACGCATTGCCTTTCATTCAATTAAGTCTTGACACCGGAAATACAGTATAATTTGCTGCAGGGTTAGAATATGGTAGTAATTAAAAGATGGATTAAGGGGATGAAGCGTGGGTGATAACCTCAATCACATTCTTATGCACAAAAATGGCAAATCTTGTGATATATAACAGTGTAGGGGAAAAAATTTGGTGCAGTATAAAATTTGATTATTATTATTATACAGAATTTGTTCATTTATGTTTTTACATTTTTAATTATTTCCTTACTTTATAAAATATTTCAGACTTTATAAAACATTTGTAAAGAGTCTAATAAATTCTATTCAATATTCTAGCTATGCACTCTTTATTTAGTTCAAAGAGTCTTTGATACAGGTGACTAATCAAATATTTCAAATTCCAATAGCATTTATTAAGTTCATTGGGTTTCCATACCCCCCCCCCCCAAAAGAAAACACCAAACATATGTCGTAATATTTGTCCTTTTTTCTTAGGTATATTAATTTAAAAAGAGAATTCATCTAGTCCTAGGAGACTAAGTGACCGGCCTGTACCACAGGCCAAAACCACTGTTTGAACTGTGAGGCATTGATAAACATGGCAACAGACAGGACATTTTGATAAAATCACTAGTATTTCTCCTGACTAAACACATGGACAACATCCTCAATCAAACCTGTATTTACAACTTAAACAATAGCTGGTCAAACTGACATACTATAATATTTATACACCTAGTCTACAGTAGTTGGTCTCATTAACACAAATTACCGAACACTGACTGACCACACACAAGAATATCTGAATAAACCAGTTACACTTTCAATCAAAAATACCTTTGAAAAGCGCTAACTACTGCAATGTGTTTGTATCTTTGTACCTGAGGAAGGACATCTTCTTTTAGACATATATAAGTGTTATAACGGTACACACTATTTCATGTTTATCACAGTTCATGTGTATTAATTATTGAAATCATTATCCAGGATGTGATGAGAGGTATTGTTTGTTATACTCGAAATGAGAGTTTGTGTTGGGGATGTGAAACCCCATTTCTTCATAGTTTAATTACAATTGTGTTCCTCCATTCAGTATTATTCTCGTGAAATGAGATTTATACAACCTATGGTATGTCTATATCCATGTTTTACAATATAAGAATTAATACAACCTAGGGTATGTCTATGTCCATATTTTACAATATGAGAGTTCATACAACCTATGGTATGTCTATGTCCATATTTTACAACTAACCTTTACAACATTTACTTCACTTGACAGTTTACATTTACATTCCATTTCTTCCATCATACAGCAATAATCCATAAAATATCACAAATAAACTATTCACATTAACAAATTATCCAAATTCTTAGAGTACCAGTTCAGAACTCTGTGCCTTTTTACAGCTGTTTATAACTCATATTCCTCGGTTAGACATACTTATTTCAAACAACCATAGCTACTTCTTTACTCAAAACTTTACAAGTGTAGCCCAACTCCCAACATATTTTCACTTTAAAATGCAGTTTTGGCATAGCCTAGCACAAAGATAATATTTAACCAACTAAAAGCATGGCTAGGTTATAAAAGTTGATTCGGTTTCATCGTATTTCCTCTCCACACCCTCTCCCTTCAGTTATAAATGTTATCTAAAGCCCTACCCACTACACTGTATAACACTACTACACACTATTCATTCTTTCCAGCTCAATAAATTTCTTGTCAAACCATAGGCCTGCAGCTACACCAGGCTAGAATGGCCCCAAGTTCCACTTCAACTTCAAAAGATATTGGCTTATATTGTCAACTAGCCATGCATGACCTCTAGACTGTTATGTAATGAAGTAATACCTGAAGCATCCAGTGATTGTCTAACTAATACTATCAAAGCCTTGCTGTTGAATCCCATTATGATTTATGACTAATCAGTGGACTGGGTACTATTTAATTTAACATAAATGTGTGCAATGAAGAAAATATTTAAAATATAAACAATACATCTTGTGTTCAACGTAAACCAACTAACTTTAATTCTATAAATCAAATCATTTATAGGGATTTGAAGAGAAATTTGAATACCAATAGAAGTTTTCTTTCTGGTTTGAAAACTTTAATCCCCCTTCAACTCCAAAAACACCCAAATTTTATACAATATTCTGAATGATGATACAAAAATCTATGTCATATGTGTCAAAATATTTATCGTTTAGCCACTAACTAAATCACAGATATATTCGTTAAATTTGATTTTTTTAAAAAGTTTATCTTTAAAAACAATAAAATATACACAGAAAAAAAGTTTTATATGAATCAATACAATCTAATAATTTTAATTAAAGACTGGACTCTGTAATTTTTTCATGAAGGTACTTATTGATCATCTAATATGAAAAGCTGTCACTTTAAATATTTGTAATGTACTCCTAATAAAAACACACCTGTGACAATTAATGCCTTAATATGACATTGGAAATACTTAAAGAAAGAACTAGCCCTAACTCTTAAAAGAATAAACTTTATAGAAGTGATAAAGGGAATGCTGGCTTATTCTTAGATTTGAATAGCTGAAAGGACAACATATGGCATAGCCAGCAGAGAAAAATATCCTATTTTCCATTGAATGAAGTTTAAAGGTGCTGTGTACCCATTTCTCTTCTTGATTGAACACTTTCTGTCATCTGGATTCACAATGAAGTCATGTGACTGACCTAACTGTGAACAACGGCCATATTGTTTGTGACGATTTAACAGTGTATTGAACCAATCAATAAGTGCAATGACAGCTTGCCAATGAAACAGGTCATGCTAAAAATTTACATAAAATAACATAAAAACTGCTATTGTTCTAGATTTTCTTTTATATAAAACTGTTATAAAAATTTAATTAATTAAATGAGATATTTTCATAAATAGTACTTGTGAAAAACAAAATCACACTAGTTTAAAATAAATTTGTCATACATTTCTTTATTCCAGTTGTAGTTTTAGAGCACTACCAGTATTACTCTTTGTATGGACTACATTTTAATGTAGTCAAAAGATAGGAAACAACTTCTTACATAAAATTTAAATACATTTCACAATCAGAAAATGAAATCATAACAAAAAAACCCTTAATTCAATTTCTTTTTAAAAAAAAAAAATCCAGATGAGGTTAATGATAGATACCTTGATTCATTAGTGTTGTTTATTTATATCTAAATCCAGAAAAATTTATCACACGTATTTGCTTCATTTATGCTTTTAAATAGAAAACCAGCTACAACCCAAATTCAGTTTGGACAAATTTGTAGAAGAAATTGGTTTTGACAAGCCAGCAAATAAACTATTTTGGTTTTCTGTATGCATTACCGGTAATTTTAATAGTCTATGTTTTCATATACATGCATGTAGAAAATACCCGTACATTAACATTTACTACATCCGATAAACCCAAAAACGAATTTGCTCATATGACTGAATGTTTTTTTTTTGTTTTTTTTATTACTTCAAATGATAATTTTACTGAAAGCACATAAGATTTCTCCAAAACCTTTACACTCATAAATTATTATTTTTTTACTGGTTGTTACTGGTTGAGTAAAAACCCAGCTTAGTTCATTTCAAAACCTAATACTACTTCAAACAGTTCAAAGTCATAGTGGATGTCACAGCCTATAGATTTTCATTAATATACTACAGGCAAAAAGGTTGTTAAGAGAAAACCATATGAGGGCTTGAGAAACGAAATTTAATATTTTTGGCCTCTTGTCCTATATTTTTTAGCTGATAGTGGGAAAACTGTGGCACCATGACCATTATAGTGATGCCATCTTTTTTACTCAATGACTGACAGTTGATCTTCTTTGTTTTGGAATTAAATTAGGTTGTTTCCCTTCCAATATAGCAGATATGGGCAACAGCCCTGGCTTCAAGCAGGAAATCAATACAACACTGGCATAGTACTTCCATTATCATTATTATAAGAGAATATTTAATGAATACACTAAAATAACTCTCAACATTCAAAAGTTTGATACAGTACAGTGTCAAACTATGACTAGAAAACTTTATTATCTGTAGATCTCAAAACGTGTAATATGGCCATCAATATTCTGTTTTAAGTAATTCAATAAGCGATTCTTTTTTTAAAGTGCACGTATTTGTAGTCATATAGCACCGATGATATGAACGTAAACTTTTTTCATACGAACAGATTAGGGCTAAAAATGTAAACAATTTGTGACAATTAAAAGCCTATGCTGACCATTTTTATAAAATCGATGTAAAGTAGGTTTTACATATCAAAGAATTTATTAAATTGATCATTTTATCAAACCCCATCAGATGCTACATTTATCATATTTACATTTGCATAGTTGGAAAATGAAGCCAATATATCTTACAAATATATTTAAATTACATGTATTCTCTATATTTTCCATTAACTAAGTGTGTCTAAAATAGAAACAATACTACAAAAAGAAGAATACATTATAGAAATTATGCTGGGTGGTTTTCAAATCCTGCAATAATTTCATAGAAGATTTTCAAAATTAAATTTCTAGTATTCAGCTGTTGCTTCTTATAAATTTAGATTTGATAATTTATGACAGAAATAATCTGGATCAATATTCATAGAAAAAATCCCAACAAACTGGGAACAGATATTGAACACACCATAGCAACACAGGTTTTCAAAACAGCTTCAACATAGAAAGTTGATAATAAAGTATAGAGAGAAATAATATAGGCTGGCTTTTATCATGGTGGAAAATAGGACAACATGATTTATCAAGTATAGAATATACAGTCCTGTTCTGATAGGACATTAAATCTACCTCCTATATAGTCACATGGTGAGCTAGTGTGACATGAATAAATGCATTACCATGGAAACATATCAAGCAGGGAAATAATCTATAGCCACCTGTGTGCATGGCTGACATATATTGTGGAGAGTTTTACTGGAAAGAATGGCCAATACTCTCAACCACCAATGGTATCAATGCCAAATACTTTATATACACTGGTAGCAAAAATATAGATTTTGAAATAAAAACATGATATAACTATTCTCTTGTGAAGAACCAATCAATGATGTTTTTAAGAGCGTGTCACTTCCATGTGATTCGCACAGAGAAAATAGCTTATATTTTTACTCTGTAGGGAGTTCCTCTTTACTAAGAAGGAAAATTCAATAACTAAAGCTTTTGGGATGTAGCCTTTCTCAACAGATGTTTTTTTTTATATTTTAACACAACTTAGAACTTACGTAAACAAAACCTACAAAGCTAATAAAATAATATAAAAAGATTTCTTGCTTGTACATTATGTGTTATGTGTGACCATGGCTACAGTCAAATCACTTTAAATTGGTTAAGTCTTTATTGAACATTCTTCATAAAGTTCATGCTACTACGATGTAGAAATATAACTGAAACTTATAATATCGACACTACAGATTATTCGTTAACCACCATATCCATTACAAATATTCAAGAAAACATTAAATTCTTTCAAATTTGTATCAAACGTTAAATCCAACTAAACTCTTTAGCCATATTCATTTGTATAACTAATGCAATAACAAATTTTTTCAAAATCTGCTTACCTTCCGTTCAGAGTCCTCCACTGCAGCGGCTAATATTCCAGATAAAAGTTGGGGACTGTGCTGCATTTGTTGGCTTAAATTCAAATGCACATCTGAAATGAGATTATTTCAAAATTAAATTTTTCTATATATAAATGTCTATGGTTCCAATTCAAAGGTTCATCAATGAACATTATACTACATGTATCTAGAGCTCTGTGTGTTGACTGTTTTTTTCCCCACCATTTTACACTGACAAGATGTAATAATGATAACCAAGTTTTCAATACTTGAATAATTCTTCACTGTTAAAATTCGCCATATTCAGATTATGCAAATTTACCTGCAACCTCATATGGAAGGCAGAAATTAGTTATTTGTCAACAATAGGCAACAGTAAAATTGATCTGCACAAAAGAATGTTACAACCACAAATGATGGCTTAAAGAAATTTACATCTGATGTCATCATTACTAGAAATGATATCTAAGCCCAGTAAATCTTCCCGTCTTACATGAGCAGAAACTGGTTACATAGAGAAAGCATGACATGAATCAGTTATTTTTAATGCTGATCCAACTTGTCAACTATTCTTTTATTGTTGTACTGAATCATTCATCCAAAATTGTTCAAAATATTACCAGTATATATCATTATATGGAGATCACATCAAACGGGGAAAAAATTTTATTACCCAATAATACATTCTACAGTAGATATCGCTTGTGTGATATATTTCATAATCTACTGCGATATCTCCTTAGGAGATATCGCTTTACATGAATTTGATTGGTCAGTTGAAAAGGAACTACTTTTTTTTATTTTCAAAGAACAGTTCATTTCTTATTAAAAGTAACTTTTTTTTTATTAAAAATTAACTATTGTTATTCAATTGACCTTGATGGAAACACTGGGTCAATATAAAGGACATTGCAATGGTTGAATTGCTGTCAAAAAATGATGTATCACTACGCCGTAATGTTCAGTAAAAGTGTTCAGCAAAGAATTATATTATCAATTTGTGCATGTAAGAAGGGATTGGGTGATAAATAAAATCTCCTACTCGTCTTTTTTGATATAAAAAAATATCAACACTTGTTGATAAAGTAAAAAAAAACTTGGCAGAGCCTCGTTTTTTGTTACTTTATAAACTTGTGTTGATATTTTTTGATATCAAAAAAGACTGGTAGGAGATTCTCTATATATTCCCAAACCCCTTCTAACATTGTGTTAAAAATCTACAGATTAAGATTTTGGGGATTTGGTCGGTATGAAATGTTAAATCATTACTGTATAAAATCTATCATAAAATAAATAACAAGACAGTAACTGCAAATGAAACTTCATCCTAACAATTTGAGGGTTTCTGAGAAAGTATGATTTGAGGTGACCTAGTTATGTTGACTAGAGTGTCGAAGTAACATTACCAAATGGATTCCATTTAAACAGTGCACATGTCTATAGATAACATCATGACTGAACATACTGTAGGTTATGTCATATTTCATGAACAAAATCAGCAGTAACAATGTCAATTTTTTTTACCATATTAGCAATTGTCAGAATTGGAATGGGACTGAGGTTAATGACGACCTCAAATAACCTCAATTAAGCCTGATAAAGGAAAATCACTTCAAACTTGGCAGTCAGCCAAGACTTTAATCTGCTGCTGAGGCCTTGCCTTAACAAATATGTTAAATTTAAAGATTTTTCGCTTCTAGATTTACTTCGTTACATAATGAAGAGAAATTTCAAACCTCAAAAAGATAATTGCATCCTGCACATTTGTTTTGGTTCACAGAGCGTTACTAAAATCAAAAGTCAACCTCATTTACATTGAATGTATTATATATAAGACCTAAAAGCCAACTTAAATATATCGGTTTTCAGGTTCTGCACAAAATAAACTTAACTAAAGTGCAAATAAGTTTACATCGAATATTGAATACCAATTAAGGGGAAATAAACCATTTTAAACTAATGATTTTAAAATCAATACATGTGTACTGTTATCTCTATCTGTTTTTTTCAATTTTAAAATTTCAAATACTTTTAGTTCAGGAACAACACTAAACCATGCATTATGTCAACATTTCACATTACATGATTTTTATTTTATTTTTTTTGATAAATACTATGTCATGACAGATAATTTCTAAGAACACGAACCAAGTAGTTCGTGATTGGAAGAAGCTAAGCAGACAACAAAATGATTAGTTTTCAGATTAAATCTAACTTGATACAACTAAAAAGACTGCCCAGAATTGATTTCGCTGTATATTAAATGGTATTCACATATTCCAAAGGTTTCTTTTTATATAAATTTTTTTTTTTACTGAATTCAGTTAAATATTTCCATTCTAAAAATTGATGTTTGGGAATGTGTAGCCTACTTTATAAAGAATGTTATTAGTGGACATTATACTGAATGATTGCTTTAACTCGCTTTTATGTCATCAATGTTACATGACTTTAATAAAGAAAATATTAAAAGAAATTTGAATTTATTATAGACAATGTTTATCAAAAGCATGGACAAAAGGAATTCAATTTAATAAAGAAAATTTCCACGAAGCAATATATGAGTTTAAGAACGACAACGTTGACATAACAAATCTTTCCTAAATTCCTTGAATTCTATCTGAGAACTTTTCAGTATTCGGGCCAATGACTTGACTCTCAAATCTGATGCAGTTCGATTACTTTTTTTTTTAGAAGTGGCTAACTACATGTTTCTGCCCATCGATTATATTTTTGTTATATTTCAAATACTTATTCACAATTTCTGTTTCAGCAGTTTAGCACCAAAACCAACGAACAGATATATTTAAGTTGATATCATTGCAGTAAATTGAGATATTCATACATTTTTACATTATAAGCACTGCACTCATTAGCCATCAAACTATGACTTATGGGGAAGGAGGGGAGCGCCAATCATCATGACAAAATTAACTTATGGAGGAGTAAATGCCCCCTCCTTCTGAAAGAACGAACACCAAGTTTGTGTTTAAAGGGTTAAACACAGCATGTGAAAAAATCCAGTTTTGCGTCTACATCTGGTCACCATTTTACAAATTCCAACAAATAAATATAATATTACTGTTTTTCTGCCATTCTGCCCGGACAATGCTTCTACTATTTCCTTGTCTATTCATATGCAATGACCTAAAAATCATAGTGACATTTTTGACATAGATAAAATTTAGTTTCCAAATGAGCTAACGAGTCAATCCCAACATCAGTGCACTGAAGGTACCATCTATCCACCATCATGTGGAGTATGCAAGCATTTAACATTTCTATATACCGGTAGCTAGAACTATTTCAACAGGATTACAACTATGTTTCATTAATTTTGTCAATCATCATCTTCAGATGACATTTAACAAGTGTTAGCATTAGTATATTAATGAACAGAAAAAAGTGCAGAGTTCCCCCACACAGATACATGTAGATTCAAAATTAGGGTTAGGTTTGTATGACGGAATTGTACAGCATAATATTATTAGTTATCATTTTCCCTTAATTTCCTGCGTGTACCAGTATAATAAAGAGACAAAGAAACTAGTAAAGTTAATAATAAGCTGATATATGTAGACTTGTACTTGTTTTAAACATGAAACCTAGCTACCACCACCATGTGTATAGTTTAGTTATTTGGCATGTTTGCAGTCCTCACATAACATTAGTACTAATCACATAGAAATTATTTTCTAACATTCTGCCTATACAAATATAATTATACAACAGAAGCAGACATATTCAATATTTCCTACCTTTCTCCAAATTTAACATTAAAATTGTGTAAGTTGAAGAGGAGAGTTATTCGCTATCCACTCGTTATAGGGCAATATAACCTGTATAATACAGCTGTACAGAGAGTACTGTGTGTGTGTGTTATATTCTACAGCAAGCCCAGCACACAGTATACTGGCTGTTTGACTGACCTAAATGTATATGGATACACAGACATACAGCAGGCTGGGCCCTAGTCTCTTTTCTCACTTTAGTCTATATGATTATTTATGTTAGTAGATGGTAGACTATTAACTTCAACCAAATCCATACAGAAAATTTGTATAAATGCATCTCAGCTGCTATGAGAGTTTTTAAATTAAACTAAAAACATTTTTAAAATTAAGTTAATTTACAGATCTGTATTTACTTTACAACTAAGAAAGCTTATGAAAATGCTTTAATAACTCTCTGGCCACTCCCTTTAAAATGTTAATACATTCTCCATAAAACCTTTAAATGAAGAAATCAATAATTTTGCACTTTAATATTGAGGGGCTTTTTGCTAGTGAATCCGAAGTCATGCTACAAGTTGCGGAAGTCTGCACAATCAAAAACAATTTGAATTTATGTATTTAGAACTTTATTTGAAAATGAAAGATATTTTTTGTGTATGTATGTGTTCTATAATTAGGAACATCATATAATTGACAACCATATAAAACCGGAAGTGAACTCTGAATACCCACAGATCAGTTCCCTAATTATGATCAGTTTCCCAATTATGACTAAACTCGGAAAGCCAGATAAATGATGTAGGCTGTAGCCAGTGGACTATTGCTATAATGTGCAGTGCACAAACACATGACATTACATTGTTGATGATCTTATCTTCAGGGTATCAAATGTAGGCTAAATGATTGCCCAGGGTATGGTAAGGCTGGAGAGTTGTAATGAGGAGCTCCCAAATAATGAATGAATTGTAATGCAAGTAATATGTTAATGAAAGATAGCATATATATTTTGTTTAATGTATCATCTCAGATATTATCCGAGTATAATTAAAATTAAATAGGTATCGTGTAAACAACATGCCTGTTAAGATAGAAATACTTTCAGTAAATTCTTATCACATTATTCATACTTCTAATATCTGAAATGTATTGCCTTTACAACTATAATGCAGTATTTTTTTTGTGTTCCTTAACATACTAGACACGCAAAATTAATTATAGAAAACCACTGACTTTGTAAAAGTTTAAATTCTAGTCTAAAACTAGACCTAAAGGTCAATACAAATTCAGACAGTTATTATTTACCATGACTAAAATGGCTTCCATTAAAACTTGAGAGAATTCCACTATTTTAGAGACTT